GAGCAAGACTCCATCTTAAAAAAAAAAAGAAAAAAAGAAATAGACCCAGCAGGCAGAAAATCAGCATGACATAGCTGAACTCCAGAATACCATCAATCAACTGGATATAATTGACATCTATAGACTACTTCATCCAATTACAGAATACACATTCTTCTTAAGCTTATATGGAGCATACATCAAACAGACCACATTCTAGGCCACAAAATACACCTTAACAAGTTTAAAAGGATAGAAATTATATATCATGCATGCACTCAGACCACAGTGGAGTTAAACTAGAAATAAAAAACAAAAATAGAACTACAAAATCCCCAAATACTTGAAGATTAAACAAGACACTTCTAAATAACACATGGGTAAAAGAAGACATTTCAAGAGATATGAAAAAAAAATTCTGAACTAAATGAGTATGCAACTTACCAAAACTTGCGGGAACACCAAAAGCAGTGAGATTAGAGGGAAATTTATAGTATTGCATGGATATATTAGAAAACAAAATCTAGGCCAGGAGCAGTGGCTCACACTTGTAATCCCAGCACTCTGGGGGGCCACGGCAGGCAGATTGCTTGAGTCCAGTTCAAGATCAGCTTCCAACATGGGGGAGACCCTGTCTCCATTAAAAATACAAAAAATTAGCCAGGTGTGGTAGTGCATGCCTGTAGTTCCAGCTACTCGGGAGGCTGAGGAAGGATAATCACCTGAGCTCGAAAGGTCAAGGCTGCAGTGAGCTGAGATCATGCCACTGCACTCCAGCCTGGGGGGCAACTGGTGTGAGACCCTGTCTCAAAAAAAAAAAAAAAAAAAGAAGAAAAAATCAAAAGTAATTAATAGTTTAAGCTTCTACTTAGAAAACTAGAAAAAAATAGAGCAAATTAAACGCAAAGCAAGCAGAAGGAAATAAATAATAAAAATCAGAACAGAAATCAATGAAAGTAAAAACAAGAAATCAATAATCAGTTTTCAGCTGATTCTTTGAAAAGATTAGCAAAATTTATAAGCCTCTATTTAGGCTAAGAAAAAAAGAGACACAAAAATTAAAAAAAGGAAAAAAGAGAGACAACATAAATTACCAGATATATAAAAAGGGCTATCACTACAGACCCCATGAGCATAGTAAAGGAATACTATGAACAAGTCTATGCCCACAAATTTGATAACCTAGATAAAATGAACCAATTTTTGAAAATCACAATCCACCAAAACTCACAAAAGAAGTAAGGCCACTTGAATAGGCTTCTATCTACTAAGGAAATTGAATCAATAATTAGCAACCTTCCAAAACAGAAACCACCAGGCTCAGATGGGTTCATTGGTGAATTCTACCAAACATTTAAGGAAGAAACAGGCCTGGCATGGTGGCTCAAACCCATAATCCCAGCCCTTTGGAAGGTAGGAGGATTGCTTGAGGCCAGAAGTTTGAGACCAACCTGAGCAACATAACGAGACACTATCTCTATAAAAAATTTAAAAATTAGCTGGGTGTGGTGGTGCACAACTATAGTCCCAGCTATTTGGGAGGCTGAGGTGGCAGGATTGCTTCAGCCTAGGAGTTTGAGGCTGCAGTGAGCTATGATCACACCACTGTACCACAGCCTAGGTGATAGAGCAAAATCTCATCTCAAAAAAAGAGGGATGGGGGAGGGAGAATATATGGTCTATAGAGAAGAGTCAATTAGATATATCAACAATTTCCAATATGCAAACTATAAAGTGTAATTTGAAGAAAACTGTACACAATTTTATTTAAAAAAATTAAATGACTATACTGAAAAAATAAAATTTTCAGGAAAATGCAGTAAGGTGTTACAAACAGACATGGCTAAGGCACTGACTGAAGTATATAAATAACAAGAATTATTATTTTTTGAGATGGTTTCTTGCTCTGTTGCCCGGGCTGGAGTGCAGTGGCGCGATCTTGGCTCACTGCAACCTCCACCTCCCAGGTTCAAGCAATTATCCTGCCTCAGCCTCCCCAGTAGCTGCGATTACAGGCACCCACCACCATGCCTGGCTAATTTGTTCTATTTTTAGTAGAGTTGGGGTTTCACTGTGTTGGCCACACTGGCCTTGAACTCCTGACCTCAGGTGATCCACCCACCTTGGCTTCCCAAAGTGCTGGGATTACCCCACCTCGGCTTCCCAAAGTGCTGGGATTACAGGTGTGAGCCACTGTGCCCGGCCTATTGTTTTTAATGTTCAAATAATCCATATCAAGCTTTTAAAATTATGTAAACATTCTGGATAATTGTTATTTATCTTTAAAAATTTTTATTAGTGAAGTTTCTTAATTTTAAAAAGCCCACTGATAAATTAAACTTGTTATTCAATAAATGATTTTTGTTTGTTTTTGAGAAAGGGTTTCACCCTGTCACCCAGGCTGGAGTGCCACAATCACAGCTCACTGCAGCCTTGACCTCCCAGGCTCAAGTGATCTTCCCACCTCAGCCTCCTGAGTAGCTGAGACTACAGGTGCATACCACCATGCCCAGCTAATTTTTCTATTTTTTGTAGAGGCAAGGTTTAGCCATATTGCCCAAGCTGGTCTTGAACTCCTAAGCTCAGGGAATCCACTTGCCATGGCCTTCCAAAGTGCTGAGATTACAGGAGTGAGCCACCAATCCCAGCCAATGAATTAATTTTTAAAAACGTGTCATTGAAAAGGTTTTTTTTCTGTCTCTCTACTCTGCCAACCAGGATCACCATTATCCTAAGGTTTTTGTGTTTTTGTTTGTCCCATAGTTGTTGGATAGTTGCTGGTAGCAACCAAATTACCTGTTTTCCTTCTTCAACTCTGGTGGGAGACAGGCTTACTTATAGTTCTCATCTAGATGTGGGAAAGAACATTTCCAGATGTCTCTAGAAAACCTTTCTTCACGCTTTTAGTCCACATATGAATTACATAACCATATGTAGTTATGAACCACATCATTAAACCCATCACTGGCAAGGGTGATGTAATTTCAGTCTAACCCTGGGGCTCTGAGAATTTTACCCGTGTGGGAGATGACAAGGATGGGAATCTAACCAAGTCAGAATTCTATTAAAGAAGAAATGGTGGATGGGTGCTAACACTAGCATCTACTAAACATACTGTTTTGCATTTCTTGTGATCACATTTCATTCTTCTTATGAAAGCAAAATTTTATTATTGATTTATGGATTAAAGCAATAAATAAATTTTATTAAAAAATGATTGTTTTATTTCCAAAGTTCATTCAGCTCAGGATGTATTTTATTTCTCTTGAGACTTCTTCTTTGACAACTTACAGGTTTGGTGAGATTTTTCTGTTGTTACTGATTTCTAGTTTGATTCATTTATGGTCACATATTTTATGTTTCAATTATTTTAAATGTGTTAGTTTCATAACCCAAGATACGGTCTATCTTGGTGAATGTCCCATAAATGCTCAAAAAATGTGTATTACATATTGGCTGATGGGACTGTTCAGTTCTCCCACGTACTTGCTTTTTGTCTAGTGGGTTTATCCATTACTAAACAAGGGGTGTTGAAGTCCCCAACTATACACTGTCAATTGGTCTATATTTTCCTTTTAGTTCTATCAATTCTTAGATCGTATACTTTGCAGCTGTGTTATTTGGTTAATGCACACCTGCTGTCTTTTTGTGATCGGACCTCTTCATCATTATGTAATGTACTTCTTTGTCCCTGGCAATTTTCTTTTGTCCTAAAGTTTACCTTGTCTGATAGTAATTCATCCACTCCAGCTTTCTCTGAATTAGCGTTTGCAAGGTGTATCTATTTCTATCCTTTTACTCTTAGTTTATTGATTTTTACTGATAAATCATTGCTAATTTACCGGTATTTTGAGTTTCTTGTATTTAGCATTTGGTTGGGTCAGGTTTTTAAATTCACTCTCAAAATCTTGGTGTGTTTAGAGCATTTACATTGAACGTAATTACTGATATGTGAGGTTATCGGTCAGTCATTTTATTGTTTTGCTTTTTTTCCTGTTTCCCCTTACCTGTCTTCAAGCGGGTTATTTGGGCATTCTTTAGTAGTCCACTTTAATTTATCTACATTTTTGAGTGTATCTCTTCATATAGTTTTTCAGTGGTTACAGAATGCAATACACACACACAGTTTATTGCAGTCTACTAGTATCAACATCTACCACTTGAAGTGGAATGTGGATATTTAAGCACCATTTAAGTCCCTTTTACTGCCCCCACCCTGTGATGTAATTGTCTAAAATACTTCCTCTACATACACTAAGAACCACATCAATGTTGTAATTTTTACTTTAACTTTTAAATGACAAGTATAATTGGATATACTTGTCTTCCATAACAAGTTCAGTGTCTACATATCTTCTCATTTACGCAGCATCCATTCATCCATGAACTTGTTAGCCATTTTTCCATCCACTATGCATTCAATGCATCCATCTGTGATCCTTGTAATTTATCTGAAACTTGTTTCTAACATACTTGAGTCTGGCCATCCTCTGCGATCTATTCTCTTTCCTCTCCTTTTTAATTCATTCAGATGTTGTTTTGTAAGTGTTCACATTTATTTCAAGTAGTACTATCCCCAACTGAACCGTAAGCATCTTGGCAGTGGATTTCTATTCATTTTGTATATTTCCCCTAGGACCTGTTGTGGTGTTCTAGCATCTAAGTGATACCTAACTCTACAAATTACTACTGATTTAAAAAATAATTCAGCCACCTACGCACCCACTGGATGATGCACGAGGTTTTCCACAAAACTTCCTATACATCTAGCCCTAGCACCCAAGACACCTGGACCCTGAGGAACCTGTGACCATGAGTTGTTTTTGAAGAGCAAAAATTCTGAGATCAAAATTCCCTAATCTAAGCTTGCTCTAAAAAAGTATTCCAAAACATTCTTAGAAAGTTTTGCCCCAAATATTAGCCACAAAATTGTCATATACTTTCATAACTCCTTTGTGTATCCATCCAACATCACGCACATACCCTTGTACATAGCTAACACATTACATTCAATTACCCCATTGTAGAAGAGGAATAATCTATTTCTATATGACTTTAATAATGTTCCCTAAGTAATTAGTAATCAAGGTTTTCTTCAAATTCAAATTAACAAATATGTTTGTTAATCTAAATAATATACATATTTATGGATTTGTATATGTATATAATCTTTCTGTAATTCAGTTTTTAACTGTGAACTTTTACATGTTGGAAGCAGTGAAGGACTCAATGTCATAGTACATTTTGATAGTATTTGATAGGCTTTTTCAGGTCAATTAATTTAGTTGCTTGCAAATATAAATCAAGCTTGCTCCAGTTCCACAAGGACTCCACCACAGTCTTTAGGATGGAGAAAAATCACTGGTTTTCCATGTGCTCCTATTTTGACCTCTTCACTTAGACTGCGGATCTTCTTTGTTTTCAAATCCATCACAGCTGCATTAATATTATCCACCTTAAGAAAAGGAAATACATTGAACACATTTGAGACCATAAAAATACCAACTTACAGTATCGTAATATTCAAAAAAAACTTTGAGAGCTCAGGCAGTCTATCTCCTCTGCCTGTGGGCAGGACCACGCTTAAATCAACATTAAAAAAAAAGCTTAACATTTCCAGAGAACTAAAAGAAGTTACTAAATTTTTCTAGGTAAGCAACCACAATGCTTAGAATTTTCACCATTAGTAAATGTTTCTTCTTATAATCTAAATCATGTATGATATACTTTATAATAGTTTATTCTGGCAGCACTATTAGTGAGACTGAAGACATTGATTTTGCCTGAGAACCCTGGGTTCTTCATCTATAACATGCAAATGAGGTCTAGCATATAAATTGACTACAGATTAAAATGAGGTAACAGATAAAAAGCTCTCAGTACAGTTTATGGCATAATAGGTACTTAGCAAATATGAGTGTTTCCCTGATCCCCAAAACTTGCCCTGCCAAAATACCTTTGACATTATCAAGATATACATGAAAATCACTATTAAATTGCCATTAAAATGTTATTCCCCATCTAAAAAAAAAATTCAAACTTTAATGTTTTTGCAGTCTCTTCTAAGTTATTTCTATTTTCTTCATACTTATGGACACTCTAGGAGGAGCGGATGTGTCTCTCTATACTTGACGGAGAAATGATCTGCCTCTATCTTGGGAAGTCACCCACTTAGACTGGGAACCTACGAAATGGATGAAAAGGTATGATATGAATGGCCACATTCCTAGGCAGTCATAAATCACTAGTTTAATTAAAATCACTAGTTTAATTTTAAAAAACACAGAAGCACAGAGACTAGTATAACACCCATGTACCTACCATTCAGATCTAATAAATATTAACATTTATACAATTTTATTTCCAAAGAGCCAAGGATCGTATACTGAATTCTAAAACCAGTCGAACAGCTAATGAGGATACTAAATGTTACATAAATAAGCTATGATTTCTTCATATGGCACATATTCTACTTATATTTCTGATATTTCTTTTTTAAACCTCATAGGTATATCAAAGTCACACGTGCCCAGATTCTGAACACGGCTCATTTCATGACATTTTGCACTGTAGCTGGTTAATTCTCATCTTTTTCAGAATAGAACATGACCTAGAAGCTCGTGGCAGGAGCGGCCCGACCCACTTAGTGAGGAAAATTGGTCCTCACTGATGTCAGACATTGTCAATTTTATTTTTAAATTCATATCAATATTATTAAGCTTTTTTTCTGCTGTGTTAGGTGGGATTGGAGCAGTTTTTAGTCTAGGACTAATTTTCCTCACTACCAAGCCAAAGTCCTTCTGAGTGCTCTTCCCAATGTTACAGAAATTACTACGACTAGTAAGAAAAAACTATCCCCACCTCTGTGTGTGGATTATTCCCTCCAATCCTTTCAAGGGGTTCTATTTCTAGCTTCCTAACATGCGTGCAATACTCAGATGAAGACATGAAAGGTACTACAGATCTTTGGAGTTCACTCTGTGTGCAGCTCTCCTGCAGCTCTCCAGGAGAGAGCTGTGAACTCTAGCACCATGGCCTCCTCAGACTTCCAACTCCTATCTCCTCAACTCAGGGAGACCACTAAGTTCCACGTGGATTCCCCCTTCCTGTACTGCAGTCTGGAAACTCTCTACAGCCAGTAAACTGGGTAACTGTAGGGCTCATCTTGTTTGCCCTCTCTCAGAAATCAACTCCTGTGCTGCCTGATGTCCAATGCCAGAAATCCATTATTTCATGTATTCTGTCTAGGTTGCTTGTTTGTTTCAGGGAGGAGGATAAACTGATCTCTTCTACACCAACTTGGCCGGAATCAGAATTCTAAATTGGCAGGTTTTTTGTGTCAGCAAGTAAAAAGTGTCATTACATGTCATTCTATAATATGTCTTTTTTACTTTGATTACTTTTAAGATTTTCTCGTCATCTTCGATTTTCAGTTTGACTATGGTGTGCTTAGGTGTGGCTTTCCTTTTTTTTGAGACAGAGTCTCACTCTGTCAGCCAGGCTGGAGTGTAGTAGTGTGATCTCGGCTCACTGCAACCTCTGCCTCCAGGGTTCAAGCAATTCTCCTGCCTCAACCTCCAGAGTAGCTGGGACTACAGGCGCACGCCACCATGTCCAGCTAATTTTTGTATTTTTAGTAGAGACCAGTTTCACCATGTTGGCCAGGATGGTCTCCATCTCTTGACCTCGTGATCTGCCTGCCTCGGCCTCCCAGCGTGAGTCACTGCACCTGGCCCTTTTTCTTTTTTTTTTTGAGACAGTGTCACTCTGTTACCTAGGCTGGAGTGCAATGGCACAATCTTGGCTCACTGCAGCCTCTGCCTCCTGGGTTCAAGTGATTCTCCTGCCTCAGCCCCCTGAGTAGCTAGGATTACAGGCATGAGCCACCATGCCTGGCTAATTTTTGTATTTTTAGTAGAGACTGGGTTTCACCATGTTGGCCAGGTCGGTCTCGAACTCCAGACCTCAAGTGATCTGCCTGACTTGGCCTCCCACAGTGCTGGGATTACAGGCATGAATCACTGTTGTCTGGTCTGGTGTGGTTTTCTGTTTGCCCTACTTGGGGTTGCTGACTTTCTTGAAACCATAGGTTGTTTTACACCAGATTAGTGGTGTCCTTGTCAACTATTTTTTCAATTATTGCTTCTGTTCTATTTTCTCTCTCTTTCTTTTCTGGGACTCCAACTATACTCTGCTAGAACTTTTGACCATGTCCTACATCTCTTTTATGCTCTATTCTGTTTTCTTTCTCTTCCATATTTTTTACCTCTTGATTTTGGAATTCTAGTTTCTAGAACTGTGAAAAGAGTAATTTCTGTTTTAAGCCACTAAGTTCGTGATCATTTATTACAGCAGCCCTAGAAGATGAATACAACTACCACACATCATACCAAAATTGAACAATGAAGTAGATGGATAGCTGATAGTGGGAGCTAAGTTTCTCACTGTTGGAATGAGAAGATAAAGGCCAGTGTGGTCTATGTGGTAATGGATTAGAGCTGGAGACATCAGTATACACTCAGGAGTTTATGACATTTCATGAATTCTATAATATAGTTATATATAGAAATGTGTATAGATATGTGTATATACACAGTATACACACATATATCTCCCTGCCGTGCTGGCTCAGTACAATGACCCTCCTAGTAGCAATAAGCACAAACCTAGATCTTGGCTTCTAATACCATTCTCCAGTAGTAGGAACCAGGGCTCCTAGATGAAATGGCTAATTACATGGCTAGGGCAAAGAGTAAAGATGAATTTGGAGCATCTTATATAGAAGATGAATTTGGAGCATCTTAGAGTGCCAGAAAAAGAAAGGAAGTGCTTAAAAAACAAACACAAAACACAAAACCAAGAATGATGGGGGTATGTCAAAGGGACAGATGAATCAACTGAAAGAGCTCCTAATGGCCAAAGCTGGAACAATCTGAGGGAAAAGAAAAAGTAGTATTAGATTGTAATGCAAGTCATAAAATAAATATCCACAAGTCCATACTGATATAACTCTCCATTCCTTAAGTGTGGGCCTTGCATAATGACTTCCTTCCAAAAGAGGATAATATGGAGAAGGGGGAAAAAAGAACAGCTTTCCAGTGGAGAAAGCTGACAACACCTCCTCACCTGGGAGATCAAGATTAATATCAACAGGAGTAAGTCATGTTGATAGCATGAATCCTTGATATGATGTGATGAGAATGGCACTTTACCCCATGGTCTTTCTCCCCAAAATCAATAACATGAGTCTAATAAGAAAAATATCACACAAATCTCAACTAAAGGACAGTTTACAAAATAACTGACCAGTAATCTTCAAAAGTGTCAAGGTCATCAGAAACAAGGAAACGAGATCCTAGAAAAAAGTTAGAAAACAAAACAAAACAAAAAACCAAGGAAAGTTTGAGAAACTGCCACATGCAAGAGAAGCCTCAGCAGATATGATAACTAAATGTGATGTGCTGGGGTGGAGGAGTGGGGGAAGAGAGAGCATCAGGATACATAGCAAATGCATACAAGGCTTAATATCTAGGTAATGCATTGGCAGGTGCAGCAAACCACCATGGCATACGTTTACCTATGTAACAAACCAAGATGTCCTACACATGTATCCTGGAACTTAAAATAAAATTAAAAATAAATAAATAAATAAATGTGATGAGAAATTCTAGATGGGATCCTGGAATAGAAAAGGGACACTGGGTAAGAACTAAAGGAATCAGAACAAAGTACAGACTTTAGCTAATAACAATGAATCGGTATTGGTTCACTAATTGTGGTAAATGTATCAAACTATAGTAAGATGTTCATAATTTTTTTTAAAGAGTCTGAAGAGATTAACCACCGTTTATAATGACTGGATCTTGTTTTTATCCAATTTAGAACAAATCAACTATAAAAAAAATTTGTAACTCAATCTGGGAAATTTAATTTATGAGCTGTGTATAGATGGTGCCAAAAGATTTACCTTTAATTTTGACTGAAGTGCCAGAAAATAAAGATGATAATGTCACCGTGGTTATTTTTGTATTTCTTAGAGATTCAAACTGAATAAGGGTAAAATGACATGCTGTTAATTTAAAATAATCTAAGGAAAAGAAAAAAGATGATGTGTAGCAAGAGCTTGAAAACTGTTGAACCTGGGTGATGAGAGTACTGATATGATTTTTTTTCTGCTTCTCATAAGTTTGAACGAGTTCATAAGAGAACTCCTAATGCTTTGTTTGGCAGTAAACCTGCATGTTCTGCACATATATCCCAGAACTTAAAGTATTAAGGGTGTTGGGACCCTGGGCCGGGCGCGATGGCTCACACCTGTAATCCCAGCACTTTGGGAGGCCCAAACACCCTGCTTTAGGCCAGTCTGGTTCTCCCCATCCTCTGCTCTGTCCTACCTGAAGTCTTCAGGAAGGGAAGGAATGGGGAGGAGTCATAGATACTATGACATATTGTATGTCATGTACATATGACATACAATACTATTTCCCTTTTTGGTTTTGGTAAGTAGAAATACAGTCATGTGTCACTTGATGGGTACAAGTCCTGAGAAACGCATCACTAGGCAATTTCATTGTTGTGCAAACATCACCACACCTGGATGGTGGAGCCTACTATACATCTAGGCTATAGGGTACAGCCTATTGCTCCTTGGCTACAAACCTGTACAGCATGTTACTGAATACTGTAGGCAAGTGTAACACAATGGTGTCTAAACACATTTCAACACAGAAAAGGTACAGTAAAAATACAGTGTTACAACCTTACAGGACCTCATGTAGACTCATCACTGACTGAAACATTGTTATGTGGTGTGGACTGTATTTGGCTAAACTAGTAAGGTATGCTAATCATTCCTTATATTTCCTCTTTGTTTCAACTAGCACTATGTTTCAATTAGCACTATTACTTCTGTTTATCTTTTTGTATTTTGTAGGCTGTCTTTTAGTCAGTCACCTTTAATCCTCTCTGGAAAATGCGGAGCATGTGTGAATAAATGAAGCAAGCAGGCAAGCTCTGGGTAGACAGGGACTACTTGTTCAGCCACATATCCCCAGCACCTTCTACAGTGAAGGACAGAGTGATACCAAAAATACTTAACAACCAGAAAAATACAGACAAAGATACTAATCAGATAGAATTGTGCGGCTGAGCATGGTGGTTCATGCCTGTAATCCCAGTGCTTTGGAAGGCTGAGGTAGAAGGATTGCTTGAGCCAAGAGTTTGAGACCAGCCTGGGCAATATAGCAAGACTTTGTCTCTTAAAAAAAAAAAAATTAGCTGGGCATCATGAGGTGATGCCTGTAGCTCAGGAGTTCCAGGTTACAGTGCATTATGATCGTGCCACTGCACTCCTGCATGGGTGACAGAGTGAGAGCCTCTCTCAGAAGGAAAAAAATTGTAGAGGGAGAAGGGTGTCTGAAGGGTCCCAGAAAAGGAATGTTACTCAGGGGTTACAGAGCAGCAGCTGTTTACCAACCAGCAGGGAAGCACTTAAATATTTTTACAAACTCAATACAAATTTGAGTAAGTAAATATTTCTGGTGGCCCTTAAAGTTTTCACTGTGACACACTATGCTGTCTGGGTAAACTCTCTAGAGAAAGCTTGGCCAGCTCTGTCTCCTCAAGCAGAGGCACGCAGAAGGCAGGGAAGGGGACCCCCATCTTGCCATCGCAGGCAGCAGGTTAGGACCACAAACACAAGCTGTGCCAGAAAACAGTGGGTGACTCAGTCCATACATGAGCAAGAGAAGAGATGGAACAAGATGCCCTCTAAACTTCCTCTAGTGAGATGCAAAGACACACAAGAAATACGGGCAAACCTCACAAGAGAAAATAGAAACCAAGTCAACCTCAACAGAAAAATGCTGATTAACTAGTGAGATAGTAATCCACGTATGCGAAAGGGACATTTCAGCAAGTCTTTGAGTCAACGAAAAGCTATGGAGTATGTGCAAACAGATACATGCTAAGTCAGAGGTTTTATAAGATCCTGATGAAAAAGGACAAAAAGTATCCCTGTGATAATTATACATGGGAAAGCCAATTCTCTGATGAGCGGTTCAACATTTTTTTTTTTTCTTTTTTTTTTGATACAGAGCTCTCGCTCTGTCGACCAGGCTGGAGTGACGTGGCATGATCTTGGCTCACTGCAACCTCCGCCTCCCAGGTTCAAACGATTCTCCTGCCTCAGCCTCCCGTGTAGCTGGGATTACAGGTGTGTGCCGCCACGTCCAGCTAGTTTTTGTATTTTAGTAGAGACGGGATTTCACCGTGTTGCTCAGACTGGTCTCAAACTCCTGAGCTCAGGCAATCTGCCCACCTCGGCCTCCCAAAGTGCTGTAATAGGCGTGAACCACAGCGCCCAGGTGACACACCACTTTTTAAAAATCACCAAGTGTGGCATCCATTGACGGCCTCCAGTACCTTTCTCCTTTTCCTCCTTTTAATTACAGCAACCCCCAAGTTTCAGCAGGGCACACAACTGCCTAGCTAGAGACTACATTCCCCAGCCTCCCTTGCAGAGAAGTGTGTCATGTAACTAAGCTTGGGCCAATGGGATAAGGACAGAAGTGATCCTAGAGCATCTCCTTAAAGGTACTTGCCAGGTATTCCCACTCCACCTTCCCTTCCCTCTGGTTGGCAAATGATGATGCCTGGAGCAACCTTGTAAGTCATGTGTCATGGACAGCAGAGCTGCCCATCAGCATAGGATAGCTAATATTAGACTGAAAACAGAAAAATAAAATCTTATTAAGCCACTTAAATTTTTTGTGGAGGGCAGAGAAAGATGATGGTGGTGTTATACTAAAATAGCACCTAACTAACCACTTTTCACACCTTCTCCCCTTACCTACCTTCATTTTATTTTATTTTATTATTATTATTATTTTTTGAGACAGAGTCTCACTCCGTCGCCTGGGCTGGAGTGCAGTGGCCGGATCTCAGCTCACTGCAAGCTCCACCTCCCGGGTTCACGCTATTCTCCTGCCTCAGCCTCCCGAGTAGCTGGGACTACAGGCGCCCGCCACCTCGCCCGGCTAGTTTTTTGTATTTTTTAGTAGAGATGGGGTTTCACCATGTTAGCCAGGATGGTCTCGATCTCCTGACCTCCTGATCCGCCCGTCTCGGCCTCCCAAAGTGCTGGGATTACAGGCTTGAGCCATCGCGCCCGGCCACCTACCTTCATTTTATACTCAATACATTTGCAGGTAACCCTTCCAATCTCTGCTTTTGAATCTGTGGCGTGATCACAGCTCACTGCAACCTCCACCTCAGCACTTCCTGGGCTCAAGCGATGCTCTCACCTCAGCCACCCAAGTAGCTGGGACTACAGGTGCATACCACCACACCTGACTAATTTTTTGTATTTTTAGTAGAAACATCTTGCCCAGGCTGGTCTCAAACTCCTGGGTTCAAGCACTTTGCCCACCTTGGCCTCCCAAAGCGCTAAGATTACAGGTGTGTATTAGTCCATTTTCACGCTACTGATAAAGCCATACCCGAGACTGGGCAATTTACAAAAGAAACGGGTTTAATGATTTACAGTTCCACATGGCTGGAGAGGCCTCACACTCATGGTAGAAGGCAAGGAGAAGCAAGTCACATCTTACGTGGATGGCAGCAGGCAAAGAGAGATTGAGCAGGGAAAATCCCCCTTATAAAACTGTCAGATCTTGTGAAACTTGTTCACTATCACAAGAACGGCATGGGAAAGACCTGCTCCCATGATTCAATTACCTCCCACCAGGTCCCTCTCACAACATGTGGGAATTCAACATGAGATTTGGGTGGGGACACAGCCAAGCCATGTCAAGGCATGAGCCACCACACCCCGCCACTAAGTGTTAGCTGTTATGATAACCCTGTGCTTTTCCACATGCAATTCCCTCTGCCTGGAGTAACTTTCTCCTTTTGTTCACCTGGGGAATTCCTTCACATTCATTGCAACTCATGCTCTGTGAGGACTTCCCAGCAACTCAATTTGCCAGGAACAATCTCCTTCATCTGTGATACTGCGAAGTCACACATATCAAATCTACTTATCATAGTATATTGCACTTGGGTATTTAAATTTCTGCCCCTCCTCACTATGGACATGACTCATATCTTATTCACTGCTAAATTCCAAGTACTTGGCAGAATACACATTGTAGGGTTTCATACATGTTTGCAAAAATGAACTGAATACATCCTTGAATTCACTCTAGAATCAAACTACCTCTCTGTATTAGAAATTTGGCCTAACAGGCCGGGCAAGGTGGCTCACGCCTGTAATCCCAGCACTTTGAGAGGCCGAGGTAGGTGAATCACCTGAGGTCAGGAGTTTGAGACCAGCCTGACCAACATGGTGAAACCTCATCTCTACTAAAAATACAAAATTAGCTGGGCGTGATGGCGCATGCCTGTAATCCCAGCTACTTGGGAGGCTGAGGAAGGAGAATCACTTGAACCCAGGAGGTGGAGGTTGCAGCGAGCCGAGATCACACCATACTGCACTCCAGTCTGGGCGACAGAGTGACACTCTATCTCAAAAAAAAAAAAAAGAAAAGAAAAAGAAATTTGGCTTAACAATTATCTCATTCTTTCTATCAAAAGAATTGTCCTAGCAAATTAAATCGATGCATAATTGTCATTGCTGATATTCTAAAAGGCAGTTATCTGAACATGAACATCTATAGAAATGTTCTCTAATGAGACTTTTCTTGTCTAACATTTCTTCACATTCCTCTAAAAATTGTTGGCAGATGCAATTCAGAAGATCTTAAAAATCAGTCAGTAATTGAAAAGTATTGACTTTGTAATAACGAAGAAGTTATTAGAATTTTAAGGAGAGAAAAGAGTTATAAAGAATGCTTAGCATGTACATTGAAAGCTTTACTTTATAAAGTCTTTTCATTTGCTTCTCCTAATTGCCTTGTGATAGTGAAAACAGCTGTATTCCTGTTACATGGGAGGTCACACATGATCAATTCGAAAGCAGATTCTATATTGTGGCTAACTTTGGTGGCACTTACAGTGGTCACTGAATCCAGACTTCAAAAAAATACATTAATATTATATGTTAGAATTTTCTAAAGGGAAAAGAAATGTACGTAAGGATCCATCTTTGAGGAGGATGAATATTATCATTCTCCATAAAGAACCTTACAAAAGTTTCTAATGACAGTGACCATAAGTAGTCTTAAAAAGTAAAAGACATATTTTAAAAGAGAGATTTAAAATACCAGGCATTAAAATAATTAGAATACCTCGATGCAGATGTGATGCATTCCTCCAGCCTTGTTTTTCTGCAGAAAACCTGCAATTGGACTGTCACGTCCCAGTGGATGAAGCAGTTCCATCTTGGTATTTCCCAGGTTGACAAAAACAACAGATACTCCATGTTCAGGAAGAGGGACCGCTTCACTTACCTGGGCCCCGAGAATATTCTTATAAAATGCTGCAGCCTTTTCCAAATCTGGCACTGCTATGGCTACATGATTGAGTCGACCCAGGTTCCACAAAGAACCTGCCACTTGATCCAAGGGCTGTGATGTGGAAGAAGCTCTTAATGTTGGAATGGGAGCTTGGAGTCTGGAAAAAAGCCCTGAAAAATTGAACAGCCATTGATATCCTTCTTTCGAGAATTAATGCACTTCTAAATTGAATTTTAAAAACTAAACAAATAATGCATGCAAAAATTCGTTATTTATATATCTATTCTTTTCAATTATTGAAATGAAACCAGGAGATAAATGGAAAAACTTACACCAGAATTACTCTGCTCTGCCCATTCAAATAACTGACTGGAATAAAAAAGCTAATTCTGAGCTGTAGTTAGATTTAAAATACAGAATAACATTTTTTCATAATGATTCATATTTACTGGTAACATTTAAAGAATAGTGGCATATTAAGAATTACTTGCTATTCTCTCTCTGCATTTCACAATGAAACAACATATTTAATAACAACAAGCAATTTCTCTACCGGTACCCAATTTTTTGTCTTATATTTTGTAATAAGTCCATTAAAGGTATAAACACACATTAAAAGAATACATACAGTACTCTTTAATGCTCTGTTGCCCAGGCTGAAGTGCTGGAATGCAATAGTGTGATCTCAGCTCACTGCAACCTCCGCCTCCTGGGTTCAAGTGATTTGCCGGCCTCAGCCTCCCAAGAACCTGGGATTACAGGTGCCCGCCACAATACCCAACTAATGTCTGTGTGTGTGTGTGTGTGTGTGTGTGCGCGCGCGCGCGTATATATATATATATATTTTTGTTTTGTTTTGAGACGGAGTCTTGCTCTTTTGCCCAGGCTGGAGTGAAGAGGCGCGATCTGGGCTCACTGCAACCTCTGCCTCCTGGGTTCAAGAGATTCTCCTGCCTCAGCTTCCTGAGTAGCTGGAATTACAGGCGCCTACCACATGCCCAGCTAATTTTGTATTTTCAGTAGAGACAGGGTTTCACCATGTTGGCGAGGCTGGTCTTGAACTCCTGACCTCAGGTGATCCACCTGCCTCGGCCTCCCAGAGTGACATGATTAGAGGTGTGAGCCACTGTGCCCACCCTAATTTTTGTATTTTTAGTACAGACAGGGTTTCACCATGTTGGTCAGGCTGGTCTCAAACTCCTGACCTCAGGTGATCCACCCACCTTGGTCTCCCAAAGTGCTGGGATTATAGGCGTGAGCCACCATTCCGGCCAGTTTTTAGCATTTTTAAAATTCACTACCACCGTGTCCTCATCAGATAGTTTCTTGATCTCCACAGATAACTCTGCATTCCATTCATTTAGCAAACAGTCATTGTATGTCATTAACAACAAGAATGGCCTGAATTTACTGTGCACCTACTGTCTGGCACTGTATTTATTTTTTTACACCAACTGTCTGATATTCACAACAAACCTACAAGTTAGAAACTTAGTAAGTTTCATTGTTACCATGAAATCCAAGTGGATTATAACCCAGTACACATATACACAAATGTACAATTGAAACTAAATTGCAAAAAAAGAATACCTTTCACCTCAGCCTCGTGAGTAGCTGGAACCATAGGCAAGAGCCACCATGCCTGGCTAATTTTTGTATGTTTTGTAGAGATGGGGTTTCACCATGTTGCCCAGGCTGGTCTTGAACTCCTGGGCTCAAGCGATCCTCCCACCGTGGCCTCCCAAAGTGCTGGGACTACAGATGTGAGCCACCACACTAGGCCAGTGAAAATGTTTTGAAATAGATAAACGTGACAGTTGCACAAACCCAGTGAATGTAATAATTGCTGTTAAACTGTACTGTTTTTTCTTTTTTTGAGACGAAGTCTTGCTCTCTCGCCCAGGCTAGAGGGCATTGGTGTAATCTCAGTTCACTACAACCTCCACCTCCCGGGCTCAAGCGATTCTCCTGCCTCAGCCTCCTGAGTAACTGGGATTACAGGTCCGTGCCACAATACCCGGCTAATTTTTGTATTTTTAGTAGAGATGGGGTTTCCCCATCTTGGTTAGGCTGGTCTCAAACTTCTGACCTCGTGATCCACCCACCTCGGCCTCCCAAAGTCCTGGGATTATAGGCATGAGCCACTGCGCCTGGCCTAAACTGTACATTTTTAAAGGGTTTTGTTATGTAAATTTTACCTAAAAAAAAAAAATGGCCCAACAATAAAAATCCAAAGGTGAAATTGTGTAGACCAAGCAAACTGGGTAGAGAACAGTGAATAAAGTGGTTAAAATGAGACAGAGCTTTATAAAAATGTGCTCCTGAAAAGTTTGCTGTGAATTGAATTCTTAATTATTATATTTTCTCTTGCTACAAGTAATTGTAGCAACTTTTTTCCAGCTTGAGGTACCATGACTAATAGAAATGGTGTTATCTTTAAGGTATACAATGTGATGTTTTAATATATGCATAAATTATGAAAATGATTACCATCACTGAAGCTAACTTTTTAAAGCTATTTTTATTTCAGGTTGCCCTCTAATTCGTAGGAATTCACAGCTCTTTAGTTTTAGGTTTCTCTGCCTCCCATTTCAGAATAGTGCAGCAGAACTGCATTATTTTGAATTCTGTAATGTTTAATTTGTGATTTTTCCAATAAAGGTTGCTTTGCATGAATATACTACAATGTAAAACTATGTGCAAATAAATGCATAAGATATTTAAAAATAGAAGTGTTAATAAAAAATGCGTGTAAAGATGAATGCAGATTTAAGAAACTACTTTCACATATGTCAGGAAGCTGGTATACAGGTAAAAGATCAAAATCAGATGTGTATGTTAACTCTTATTCCAATCTTCCTTTCAATATCAGTTCTCGTTAATCACTTTTAGTGTCCTGACTTAAAAATAACATTACATTTCTTTCAGTTCAGATTTTGCGCTTATTTCAGATTACACTTTTTAAACACTGTCCCTGCATACATAAAAGTTTAGCTGCAAGGATCTATAGTCAAATGCATTAAGAGTACTTACTATTTAAAGACATTAGATGTTAAATTTGTACAAAAAGTACTAAGTTCACCCATTTGAAGTGTACAATTCATTTCTTTGCATATTCGCAAAGTTGTGCAACCCTCATATAATCTAATTTTAGAACATGTAATGAGCTTTTTTTTTTTTTTTTGAAACAAGTTTGGGTCTGTAGCCCAGGCTGGAGTGCAATGGCACAATCTCGGCTCAGTGCAACCTCTCCTTCCCAGGTTCAAGCAATTTTCCTGCCTCAGCCTCTCAAGTAGCTGGGATTACATGAGCGTGCCACCACACCTGGTTAATTTTTGTATTTTTAGTAGAGATGGGGTTTTGCCATATTGGCCAGGCTGGTCTTGAACTCCTGACCCCAGGTGATCCACCTGCCTTAGCCTCCCAAAGTGCTGGGATTACAGGCGCGAGTTACCGCGCCTGGCCAAACATAAGTCTGAATTTTCACGTATCTGGTTTGAGGAAACATACAGATTTAGAAAGTCATTCATTAGAAGTGCCTTCAAGTTAGTCTGGTAAGTTTTCTCTTAAACATTTGACCAGTTAATTTCACAGCACCATATATATATCTTCAACTTGTTTCAAACTATGATCAAATTTTATTTTTATTCATTACAGTAACTAAACAGATTACATTTCTGTTAGCCCATTTACAGATGATTAATAAAAGTAAACCTATGTAGTCATGTAAGTTGGTCATTCTTGTCTCCCACCTAACAGGTTCAATTTCCATTTTCAGAACTTTTCTACGTGTCCAATCTGATTTTTCTGTGCTTTTGTTTTCCTGCGAAGTTTTATGTACCTTAAAAGAGGGGCCATAACATAGAATTACCATGTAATCCAGCAATTCCACTTTTGAGTATATACACCCCCAAAAAAGCGGGAATTCAGAGGTATTTGTATACCCATGTTCATAGCTGTATTACAATAGCCAAAAGGTGGGGAAAACCCAACCGTCTATCAAGAGATGAATGGATAAACAAAATGTGGTATACACACACAAAGGAATATTATTCAGTCTTAAAAAGCACCTTTTTTTTTTTTTTTTTTTTTTTGAGATGGAGTTTTGCTCTTGTTGCCCAGGCTGGAGTGCAGTGGTGCAATCTTGGCTCACGGTAACCTCCGCCTCCCGGGTTCAAGCAATTATCCTGCCTCAGCCTCCTGAGCAGCTGGGATTACAGGCGTGCGCCACCACGCCCGGCTAATTTTTGTATTTGTAGTAGACACGGGCTCACGCCTGTAATCCCAGCACTTTGGGAAGCTGAGTTGGGCGGATCACCTGAGGCCAGGAGTTCGAAACCAGCTTAGCCAACATGGTGAAACCCCGTCTCTACTAAAGGTACAAAAAATTAGCCGGGTGTGGTGGCGTGTGCCTGTAATCCCAGCTACTCAGGAGGCTGAGGCGGGAGAATGGCTTGAACCTGGGAGGCGGAGCTTGCAGTGAGCTGAGATCACGCCACTGCACTCCAGCCTGGGCGACAGAGTGAGACCCTATCTCAAAAAAAAAAATAAAAAAGGTAAATTTTACTTTATGTATATTCAATCACACACAAAAGTGCAGCCATTAAGTTTCAAGTATCTTAATAGGACAAATCAAAGGCAATCTTTGGAATACACTATCTTCATTTTTCCTTTATGCCAAGACGTGTATGTAAGTTACAAAACAAACATTCACCTTTATCTGTATTGAGTTCTTGCAGTATGTATATGACCCGTTGGAAGTCATACTTCTTCCCAAACTGTCAATCATTAAAGGGTGCAGTTCTAAAGTACACATACAAATGCCTTTTCCCAAATATTCATTTATTTATATTTTTACGTTCCTATTTTGTGTATCACCTAAGCGGGTATGCCTTACGGTTAAGAATGTGCTCTAGTGCTAGAAGGATTTATCACGAATGTCCCAGAGTAACTCTGGGGCATTACCACTTGGCACCTTCTTCCTAACAGGGAATCTCAGATTAAGGGAAAAACTTGCCCTCTCATAAAAGGAGGAAGAGAAATAAAAAGAGGAGAAAGTGAGAGTCAGAAAACGTGACAATTAGTTATTTCTGTCATAACTTATTCTATGTACACATTTTTTTAAAAATGAAGGGGGAGAGAGAGAACTCAAGGAAGTTTCCAAATCCACATGCTTTTTATCCATGTACGCGATGATAAACACATTAGTGCATGTGGAAAAATCCCTCCTTTTGTATTCTTTACACCACTGACCTTTGAGTGTTCCCAACAGAAAGCTGGTCATGCTTGGAGTTCGGCCGAAGTAGCAGTTGTTGTTTTTACAGGACTTGCTCTCCTTTCTGGTTTCTCCCCATTCTCTTTATTGGTGCGCAGCAAAATAACTTACCAACCCGCTTCTATTTACTTCTGTCCCTGCCTGCCCTGCCTGACCCGCCGGGCAAGTTCCCTCGCCTCTCCCGCCCACGTACTGGAAGGTGCAGCGCCCCGGGCGCACAGCTCCCGGATGGCAATGGGACTCGTGCACAAGGCAATCCCCGCTACTAAACGGAGGCGTTTCTGGAAGTTACCCTCAGCCTAGGTGCCAGCAGCGGCCGTGGAACGCGCCCCCGGGGGAGAGAGGGCATTAGAAAAAGGTGCTTTGGCCACGCCGAGGCTTCCTCCGCCCCCGACCTCCGTTCCCACACGCGCTGCCCCACGGCGACTTTCGCCGGTGCCCGGTATTCACCTACGGCATTCGCGGCGGCAGCCCTCAGCGCACGCGCCATTTTGGAAAGCAACCCGCCACGTCCAGACCGGCAGACGACGGTGAGAGACGCGCAGCAGAGGACGGGGCGGGAGGCAGAGGGGGCGGGGACAGACAGGTTAGGGGCGCGGCGAAGGGCGCTGTCTTTCCTGCTTCAACACGCCTACTTTAGCTAAAACAGAAACTTAAAGCCAAGACGGGTTACGCTTTGTGGGCCCCTGAAAAATACAAAACGAAGTTTCGAGAGAGTTCAAAGGCGTTTGGACCGACCATGGCGATTTTTGTATTCCGTCCCCCTGCAGAAGCGAAAGCGCTCGCCCTGCCATTGGCTCTGGCTGAGGGCGAGTCCGGAACCTGGGCGCAGCGGAACTTTCGTCTCTGACATCCAAGTTGCGCTACGCGCCGGTTTGCGGAGCGGTTTCCGGGCGGCTCCCTTCCCTTGCATGCGGCATTGTGTCGGGAGTTGCTGACAGCCATGGCCCCGCGGGTCTGGCGTCGACGGACCCTGGAGCGGTGTCTGGTAGAAGTCGGCAAAGCCACGGGTCGGCCCGAGTGCTTCCTCACGTAAGTGCGCAGATCCCGGGCTCGGGGTGCCACCGGGGTCTCACGTGTACGCGGGTTGCAAATTGTGGAGCTGGGGGAAGGTAAGGGGAAATACAAATCACTTTTCCCCAAATTTCGGAGTCTACTTTCCTAGGCTATCAAAATTTAAAAAATTGTTAACATTTGTATGGATGGATCTCTCAGTTGAGTGTTACTGAAATCACCCTAACCTCAGTTATTAACGGCTAGAAGCTTCCCTTGGGCTTCCTACGCCCGCATCCCTCTACACACAAACTGTTGGTTTCTCCTTCCTCCAATGTGCTCCTAAAGCACTCAGTGCTTAGCATACTTTTTTGAAAGTACGAACTTGTCACTTGTCTGTCCACCCCCCACAACTAAGCTTCTTGAGAATTAGAACTTTCATGTCTCTTCCCAGCACAAGCGTTTTATATGTATTTTGTTGAAGAATTTCAAATACGATCTATGAAATTACTACTCATTTATATTTCAAACCCCGGCTCACAGCAACTACAGATTTTGCTTAGTTTGAATTCAGTAGCACACAACTGGGATATCAGCACTGTGCAACTTTTAACGATTTTTAAAATTTTGGTACTGTCAAGCATCTCAACTTCACTGCCTTCAAAATAGAGCTGTTGTTTCTGTTGAATAGAATTGTTGTTTCTGCCCACCCATACTCTGCCATCCCCTGAAGTCCTTTTCCCATGCTCCACCTGTCAAGCACGTCCGTGTGAAGAAACCACTAAAACAGGCTTTGTGTGAGCAACAAGGCTGTTTATTCACTTGGGTGCAAGTGGGCTGAGTCCAAAAAGAGAGCGAACGGTGATGGGGAAGAGGTTGCTTTATAGGAGTTGGGTAGGTAATGGAAAATTACAGTAAAAGGTGGTTATCTGTTGTTAGCAGAGGAGGGGGTCACAAGGTACAGGGTGGGGAGATCATAAGACTTATTGTCCAGAAGAAGAATATCACAAGGTCCATTGATCAGTTAAGGTAGGGCAAGGACAAGTCACAGTGGAGGAATGTTGTAATAGTGGTTAATCAGTTAAGGCAGGAACTGACTGTTTTACTTCTTTGGTGGTTTTTCGGCTGCCCCAGACTTCTTGGCTCCTGCGGGCCACCTGGACGTATATGTGCAGGTCGCAGGGGTTACAATGGCTGAGCTTCGGCTCAGAGGCCTGACACCACCACGCAAGCCTTCCCTATCTCAGTAAATGGCACTTCTGTCTTTCCAGTTTCTCAAACATAAAAGTAGGCTGCTACTTTGATGTCTTCGTTTTTCTCTATTCTATATCTAATTCCTTAGCAGTCCTGTCAGTTCTACCTCCAAACTAAGCATATTCACTGCTCTAACTCCAGTTTACATCACCATTATCCTTTGCCTGGAATGCTGCATCAACCAACCTTCTAATCACTGTACTTTTCCTCCTCCTCCCTCCTCCCTTTCTTCTTCCTTCTTGTAAATCATCATTTCATCCCTCTGCTTCAAATGTTTTCTCTTTACACTTTAAATGACAAACTCTTACTCCTGAGCCACGCATAATTTGGCTCCCATCAGTCTCTCCAGCTTCACCTTCTGCCTCCTTCACACTTTAGCTGTGCTCACCTTTTTGTTCCTCAAGCTCACCTCTAGAGGATTTGCATCTTAGAGGATTTCTTCTGCCTGGAGTACATGTTTCCCAATCTTTATAAGACTATCTCCTTATGTACAGCTTTCCCCTCAGATGTAGCATCTAAGAGAGGTTTTCCTTGACCACTGTAGCAAAAGCAAATGTTGATCATTGAATGAATAAGTGAATGAATGAATGGAGTTGTATATAATGTAGCAGAATTGATCATTTAAGGTTAATTCACTATATGTCTCCAAGCAAATAGATTTGTAATGGTTTTCCTGCCTAAAATCTATACAGCTGATTCACAGATACTTGGTTGACAGGTTTTATATATCAGTGTAGGTCATCAGCTTATATGTTGTTGGGGGCCCGAATCTATACCTACACTTCATTCAAATTTGATTTTACAAAAGAGTTGGGTTTTTAAATTTTTATTAAGAGTGCTGTGAAATTATTACCTATAATTCTAAATCTCAATTCCTCCCAATAGGATTCAAGATGGATTGGCATCAAAGTTCACTTCTTTAACAAAAGTGCTTTATGACTTTAATAAAATATTAGAGAATGGTAGGCTCCATGGAAGCCCCTTGCAAAAACTTGTGATAGAAAATTTTGATGATGAGCAGATTTGGCAACAACTGGAATTGCAAAATGAACCAATTTTACAATACTTCCAGAATGCAGTTGGTGAAACAATTAATGATGAAGACATTAGTCTTCTCCCAGAGAGTGAAGAACAGGAACGTGAAGAGGATGATTCAGAGATAGAGGCTGATGATCAGGAGGACCTAGAAGATTTAGAAGAGGAGGAAGAAGTGTCAGACATGGGTGATGATGATCCTGAAGTGGGTGAGAGAACTAAAAACTCAAGCAAATCTGGTCTGAGGAAAAGCCCAGTTTTCAGTGATGAGGATTCTGACCTTGACTTTGATATCAGCAAATTGGAACAGCAGAGCAAGGTGCAACACAAAGGACATGGAAAACCTAGAGAAAAGTCCGTAGTAGATGATAAATTCTTCAAACTCTCCGAAATGGAGGCCTATTTAGAAAACATAGAAAAAGAAGAGGAACGAAAAGATGATAATGATGATGAGGAGGAAGATATTGATTTTTTTGAAGATATTGATTCTGATGAAGATGAAGGGGGACTGTTTGGAAGTAAAAAACTTAAGGTAAAGTTTTGAGAGAGGGGAGAGCACTTTCCTCCCCAAATTAGCTTTCGTTCTCTTTTTCTAGGGGAGATTTAATTGTAGTTAGAAGTTTTAGTGATAAGAAATATTGTGCTCTATCTTATCAGTTACAGATGAATCTGTTCTTCCGTTCAATTTATGTTCCAGTTGGTCTTATAGTTTTGTGGTAGTGTTATTGCCATTTTCACCTAATCACTAGTTATTAGTTTAGTTATTAGTTATTAGCTCATAGTGGTATTAAGTCAGAAAGTAATATATACATACAAATCTATGTGCATGTGTTAATATATTTTTCTATTCCTAATTAATAGTTTTTTTTTTTCTAATTAATAGTTTTTAAAATCTTTTTAGTCAGGTAAAAGTTCCAGAAATCTGAAATACAAAGATTTTTTTGATCCAGTTGAAAGTGATGAAGACATAACAAGTGTTCATGATGATGAGCTGGATTCAAACAAAGATGATGATGAGATTGCTGAAGAGGAAGCAGAAGAACTAAGTATTTCGGAAATGTGAGTATTTTGAACCATCCTTTGTATTGTAGGCTGGAATTGCCCAATCATGTATGTGTACTCATAGTTATCAAATGTGTCTGTCTTACGAAGTTGGATTCTCTAATATCAAATATTCTCAAGATAGCCAGAGGAAAGTCTCTGAATGTAAAGGGACATTAGATATCACTTAATGAAGAAAAATATCACTGGTAGTAGCAATCAAACCTTCCTTACCAGGAACTTTGATTTGGTTTTATGTCAATAAAATCCTGTTATTTTTGTGAGATAAGAGACTTGTATTATAGATTGATGAATAATTTATTTTATATATGTTGGACACTTTGTTCTGTTTCTTTTTTTTTTTTTTTTTTTTTTTGAGGCGGAGTTTTGCTCTGTCACCCAGGCTGGAGTGCAGTGGTGCGATCTCCACTCACTGCAAGCTCCGCCTCCCGGGTTCACGCCATTCTCCTGCCTCAGCCTCCCGTGTAGCTGGGACTACAGCGCCTGCCATCATGCCTGGCTAATTTTTTTTTTGTAGTTTTAGTAGAGATGGGGTTTCATGGTCTCGATCTCCTGACCTCGTGATCCGCCTGTCTCGGCCTCCCTGTTCTGTTTCTTACATAGCCTTTTACCTAAATAATACCTTTTGTTCCTTAATAACTGAATGATTTTGGAAGTTCTGAGTATTTGGTTGCATTAGGTATATAAAAGAAGAACTTTATTAAGGGAAAATTTGTTTCCTTTTGTTTTTCTAATGGAAAGTAGCATATTTTTTTGTATAAGAGTTTTGGTATTGTAGGGATGAAGATGATGACCTTGAAGAAAATGAAGACTGTAAACAACATAAAGAAAGCTTGAAAAGAGTGACCTTTGCTTTACCAGATGACGAGGAAACTGAAGATACAGGTGTTTTAAATGTAAAGAAAAATTCTGATGAAGTTAAATCCTCTTTTGAAAAAAGGCAGGAAAAGGTAATTAGTAATTTATGGAATTTTTAATATACTTGACATTAACCATCCTTTGAAAACTATTAACCATCCTTTGAAAACAGATATCTTGGCCAGGTGCAGTGGCTCATGCCTGTAATCCTAGCACTTTGGCAGTCCGAAGCAAGAGGATCGCTTGAGCTCAGGAGTTCAGAACCAGCCTAGGCAACATAGTGAGACCTTGTCTCTACCAAAAATACAAAAATTATCTGGGCATGGTGATGTGTGCCTGTAGTCCAACTACTCTGGTGGCTGAGACGGGAGGATCACTTGAGCCTAGGAGGTTGATGCTGTGGTGAGCTATAATTGTCTAGACTGGGCGGCAGAGCAAGACCTTGTCTTAAAACAAACAAAAAACCAAAAATCTTCCCATATGGAAAGCATCTGATGAGCAAAAGTCAGTGCCTGCATTTCAGTTTGGGGCCTATGAGTAAAATAGTTGCTTCTGCTGGGCGCAGTGGCTCACACCTGTAGTCCC